ATATAAGCAATTCATTCTTTGTACTATCACTTTATGCATGGTGGTATTTTATCTACTTTATAAATTTTTGGAACTTTTTTATATCTACATTTATACTTTTTTAGTACTTTTTCTATATTAACATTGTATTTCATGGACATTGTCAACAACATGCAAATCTTCGGACAATAAAGTATATTTTGATTTGATTTTATGATACATGCATAGTCGAATTACTTTACTATAAAAATTAGCCATTCTAGTCCATGTGAATTTGTAATCTAAGTAGGACCACCATTTAACTTATACACTATAAACACACTTTTGTCCATTTTCCATGATAGTTTTATATTTGTTGACTAATTTCGGTCATTAAACCATTTTCAAAACTAAAAAGATTACATTCAAATCTGAGTATTTTATCTACATTGCCTATATCTGTCATAAATAATTTGATACCTACATTGTCTAAACCTGGGATAACCTCAATTAATAGCAGTAAATCCTTGAACATAACAAAAAATTCTGATAAAATGTAGGTTTTGGGAACTGGGTTATAGATTCAAGAGAGGACTACTTATTGTTTGGATCAAGTTGTTCGTTGAGGATAATAGAATTGGGATTTTTCGTTGACTTGTTTATTTACATAGATTCCAACAAATTCATCATTTTCCCTTTTTCGCATGTGTGGAAACAATCTTTATCCATCTTATGTTTCGAATTTTGAAGATGTTCATACATTAATTATTTTTTTATCTGAAATGACAGGTTCATGGTACCTTTTATCAATATTTCTACCAGTTTGGCCTGTATATATGGCGGGGCATTCACCACATTCTAGTCGATATACACCAGATCTCAGATCTCCCTCAGAAGTCGAAACTTATGCGAGCTAGGGACTAACGAGGTCTTACCTTTTTATGTGTGATTCCTAACACGGGTTGGACGATAGCAAGTGAAAATCGAGCGTTCAGCCTGGGGCTTGAACCACCGACCAACACAGCGGTCGATTTGAGTGAATGAACAAAGCACCTACGTCGAACCGACCGACCTTATAAAAAATACTCCATTGCATTCCTAATTTTCTACTTTTGGAGGATGCTTTTGCAGATTTCACGCATCCTTAGTGGATTTTTTGGTAATTTTTTAGATATTTGCAAAAAACAAATCCACTTTTCCACTCAATTGTTCATAACTTTTGCATTTTTTTTAATTTCATGTTCAAAGTCGCTCCATTGGAGTATTAGCGACTGCGGTAATTTAAAATACATTAAATGACATTAAAATATTTTTGATGACATTGTTATCAGTAAAGCACCAATAAATGAATCAGTGCTTAAATTTTTCGAACCGAACGCAAGTGAGATTCGATGTGAGTTGATCTTAATGAATGTTATTATCAACAGGCGATTATGGTTTAATAGCAACGACCGATGACGAATATTACGGCGAGTTGTTCAAAGGAACGGCTCCTGTTGACTTTCCTGCATCAACATTATTTAATTACGTTCTACAGAGTGTACCAGTACTTTGAGCAGAAACGGAAGCTTCAGAATTATTTTGTTATTACACGCTTTATATTAGCTTCACCTGTAAGTATCTATGTATGTTTGTTTGTAACTATCAAGCTGGGGATCTGTATTTGACAGAATTATGATATTATTGCTTGATCTATTCGCGGGCAGATGGCGCTATACGTAACCTCTTTGACATATCGACATTATTGCTTGATCTATTCGCGGGCAGATGGCGCTGTACGTAACTTCCTTGATATAATTCGAACCCACTTTTGAGTTTTCTTAAGTTTAGATAAAATAAATATAGTTCAACAAGACTAAAAAACACGCTTTTAAAGAACATCGAACTTAAAATTAAAAATATATTTTTTTAAAAATAAGCCTAAAACAATAACGATGTTGTTTAAAAGCGTGTTTTTTAGTTTTTTAAACTATATTTATTTTCTTTCTTAATTTATTTCCTGTTTTGGTACATTCTCTGTTTTATACAGGGCGCTTTTTATCACATGCTAAAAATAATGAGATTTTCAGGCCTATCATAAAAAAAATATACATCCAGTGTGTCAAAGAAAAAAAATCTCTTTTATGGCAACTTTGGTATGGCCCTATACATTTCAGTTATACGCATCTTCCATGCATCAAAAGTAATTTTCTGATGTACAGCATTACTTTTTTATTCTCGCCAATGGTGACCGCGAGTGATTTTCACTGATTCATTCATAAAGAAAAAGCTGATAAGGCACTGATTCTTCTTGAAGTGAAAATTATCTATATATTCCTCATTTTCTTTGAGCAAATTCGTTCTCTAGTTTTTTTTAATTGACGTGAGATGTTGAGGCCTAAAACAAGAAGTACGAGTATATGAATCATATGCCTGTACTGTGACTTAAGGTGAGACCAGTTCGGCATATAAATTATTTATCGTCATTTTTGTTATTGTTCTTGTTTTTATAATTTTCAATACTTGTATTAAGTATATGTACTGTCATTACCTGCAGTGTTTTGTAACATATGAACCCATTCTGACGAATCTTATTTGTACTTTCTGAATTAACTGATATACCTACATATTTATCCATCCATCTATCTATTACTAAAAGTTTTATGTTGAAATCCACTCCTCACAAATTCACTTTGATGTCTCCAAAACATAAATGGATAAATGGTGTGTGCAATTGTACAGTTTTATTTCTACAATTTATCCTTATAAAGAGTTTTGAATACTTTTAGAAGACATAGGCATAAATTTATAAACAATATTGTCGAAGTGTAAATGCATTGGTAACCACTTTACTTCAATTAATTTTTTTCAGTGTATCGTCAGAAGTCTGACCGATTTACAGTGCTTATTTAAAAAAAATGAGTCCGAAGTGATAAAACCATTTTAGTAATTTTGGAAAAAATATATTTTTTTTAAAATAACTCAATAATGAATAATGCTACCCTGAGAAGGGGTAGCATCCATCCTGAAAGCAACCTCGGGACAAAGTCAACTTTGATACACATGGTAAGTAAAATGTGAATACAAATTTTCGTCAATACCCGAGCTGCTTGGCGAAATTATAAAAAAAAGTCATTGACTGGGCTATAACAAATAGACCAAAAAAGTACCTTATATTTTAGCATTTAGTATGTTGGGAAATACCCCATATACCAAAAAATTAAATCATCAATTTCATAAATAGTTACCAAACTATCTTGTAGATTCATTGTTTCTCTGCTGTCCAGAATTAAGAATGAAATAAACATTTTTTTCAGTCGATGAATAAACCCTAACTTCAAAAGTAGGATTGAATTGCTTGTATTTTCCATGAACAGTGTTACAACTGAGTCAATTGAATTGAAAGGAAAATATTTTAATATTTTCAGGTGTTGAAGTATGAATGACAGGAAGTATGAGAAAACGCCGGCTTCTAATAATGCTTGTTGAGCAAATATGAACATGACATGGAATACTAATTCGAAAAGTACCGAAATCGGAAATTGACTTCCTCCAAACTTTTTCAATCGACATAAATGATTCTTTCATTGAATAATAGGTTATTAGTAAACGAGCGTGAAGTGTGGATAATACAGAAGTCATACGAAAATATTTTTGAGTTGATTTCATGATGTTAAGATATTGTTCATTACAATACATATATCATTATAATATCATTGAGAATTTTTGGTATCGTTCTTATTGGCCATCAATAACACTAACACAACAATTACTTAAGCTCTGTTATAACAACTACTTCATAGAAGTTTTTGTCTAGAGCTACTTCTGAGGCCTTTCGAAGAAAATCCTTCCTTGATTCAACTACCACTCCCACCTGAAATATGGGATTTTGAACTAGGGAAATTGCTCCTTTGTAAATATAGTGTTTACTCTACAGAAATATGCCATACGAATACTGGCAAAACTAGGCTCTAGAAATTCCTGCAAATTTTTTTTTAAAGAGCTAAACATTTCAACAGTGGCAGGGACCTATAACACTAGAGGAAAACAGGTGCTACCACCAGTACGCCATCGTACTGCCCTCTTTCACAAAAGTTATGAAGTGAATGTATGCAAATTTTTTAATACTTTACACGAGACTGAAAAATTCTAAAAACATATATGTTTTTGAAAATATGACAAAACAGTTCATATTATAAAAAAATTGTTACACTTTTGAAGAATTCCTCAACTAGAACTTAAAGTTTTTTCCTTTTTTTTAATCTGTGTAACTGTTAATAAATCATTTATTTATTACTTATGGTGTATATACAGCTATATATAATATATTATGTAATGCGCCCAATGACGTCTTTCACAATAATTTTGTTATAGTGTACATTTAACCCATTTGTATCGTTGTATACAACCTTATTGATTGAAATAAATTGGTATTATTAAAAAAACTATAATTTATAAATGAGATTCAATATCAATACAAATAGTGCTAAGGATTGAGAATTCATTTCCTATGAAGTTCAATGAGACTTAATGAATATTTTGAGATCGTCTTTGTAATTAGAATAATCCATATTATTCCTCACTTTTTTCGGAATTTATGTTGTTGTTAAGAAATATGTCAAAAGAACAGAAAAGGAAAGATGTTATTACAGAATATAATAAAAACCCAATAAACAAAATTGCGAATTTTTTCGTTATCCCGGGAGCTATTCTCCTTTTTCTACAATTACTTGTGTAAATAGTTACTTACTTGTTACTTGTCTAAAATTTTCGAAAAATACTTTTTCTAATGGAAAAATGAATACCTTCAACAGAATAATGACTTGTGATGGCATATTAGACCCGAGTAAACGACAAAATAAATACTATTGTAAACACTCATTAACTATGCTCGCTTAATGTTCTCTAAATGTTTTATCAGCGCCAAGTAAATAAACAATTTTTTCAATAGATTCTAACCTCAATCCAGAGAGCAACAGACGTTTCCGCGTTCCCGCTGTACAAAAACAAATTCTCTTACAGTCCATCGAATAATTTTGAGGTTATAAACAAGAAATACTCGCCTAATTTGTTGATAAGTTCGATACACTGCGAGATGTGCGGAAACTGCAGTATCTTCCTCCACTTCTTGCTCTTTCCCTTGTTATTATCGGAACCACCTAGAACAAGCAGGCAACATAGTAACCTTAACCTTACCCTTGGTTACCCTCCACTCACCCTCTCTCGCTTTTAGATAAACTGTATTCGCAACTATGTTTTCTAGTTCCATGAGTTCCAGCTTGATTGTTTTTAAAACCCGCCAAGTCGGGCCTCTCGAGACCCGTTTCCATTAAATTCACCGGGCGAAATTTTTGAACCGGAAAGGGGTGTCCCATGCACTTGCTTCTATCACTGGCGATCGTCCACGGCACCCTCAAACGCGAAAGCACACAAACGCACACTAGATCATTGCACACGTTCGCTGTGTGGACTTTGGGGTGTGTCTAAATTTTACCCTGTACACTTTGCACCCTGTGATGTGTCGTATGCACTGAGGAAACCACTACTTTCTCTGCAGAATTTACACAGCGATCGGCACAGCACACGCGTTTTCGCTTCTCGTATCCTCGTATGCGCCACAGACTCGGTGATGAGTGACAGGGAGAGTAGGATTTGGAAAGAGATGCACGGTGCCCGGTTCACGAGGATGGGTTTTACGTGAATTTCTGGCAGCGGCGGAACGTAAAGTTGGGTCGTTTGTAACAGGAAACTGAATTTTTGAGCTTGAAATTAAAGAATTTACATCTTTCAACGGGAATGATGATATTGAAGGACTGATGAAACGACAAAAACTTGATGGAGTGAATTTGAGGTTCAATACCTATTTTTCACGTCGAAAAGATAATCGTATAACATCGAGGAAGGTGAAGAATTCGAAAAAACAAGTTACAAAAGCTATCAAATAAATGAATTGGAAAATTTTCTTCTTGTAATGGAATAATACTATTTCATTTGGACCTTATTATTTGGACGTTCGTATCAGTGACATATTCAGGGAAAAAATTAAATTATCCCAGGAATTTCTATTTTACTTTTTCTCAAATGATACCAAAGCCTCCATATCGATTTCGAACTTGCATTTGATGTCCAGAAACATGTTTGCAACTTCTGAGGGTTGTTGTTCGTATGGGGGCGACAGCTGATTAACGAAAAAACAGATATGAAAACCAAAGGTTTGCGTCAAATTTAATCCACCAGTTGCTTTTCTCATTTCAAGTAAAGAAGCCTGCGTGGACTCATTCCGTTCAATAAGGGACTATAGTGTATACTCGTATTTTGTTTCTTACTCCGTTTGGTGACCCGTAACGTAACCCGTAACGTAACACCTTCATGGTTACGTTACGGGGAGTATTGTAGCAATACATTCGTACCACTTTGACATATCCATTCGTGACAAATGACTCGTAACGTAATCGAGAGAAATCTACGTTACGTTCAGTGGTGATGCCTGTTGCATCGAGCGTTGTTTCTTACCTTGTTCGGTTCGACTGATGGATACGGTCAATACATTTCTCCTCGAATAAGTGCTTGAAGAAGATATTGAAAAATAAGGAATGAATCATCAATCCGAACTTTCGCGATTTCAATCAGATTATGATAATAATGATAATTTCAAGAATGAAAATCGAACGATTTTTGATTGGTGGTAAACGAATACAATCTACAAAAAATTTAAATTTTTTTTTTTTAATTTCTTTCAATTTTCAACATTGCTTATGTAGGTACGCTAAAATTTCTTTAAACGTTAAACCTTCGGAAAAGCGGACCGAATTTTTATTGAGTCATCTAATTATTACTTGAAATTGATAACGATTACATTCAATTTGAAAAGTTTTCCATTTTTCAATTGGACTTATTCAATAAAAAGTCGACCTTCAGTTGTGTTTTTCAATAAATTATTAAACTCACGACTTCGCTAGTTTCCAAATAATGAAAATTGACATAAAAACTAATCCGTATGGCATATTATTCACGTAAAAGAAAATATGAATTGAATATATTAAATTCAAGTGACCCTCCATTGTGAGAGTTTCACCGAACAATTTACAAAACCGCAACATGTGTTTCACTATTCAATGGCTTCCTCAGACGTGTTTATATCAATCAAATTCGACCCAATCAGTGCTTTATTATAAATCGACAAATTGAATAATATAACCTCCTCGTTCCTACTTACTTAATGACTAATAATTTTATCGAAAGAAATTTGAATGGACATGTAATGGATCATATGGACTGAGGGAAGAATTCAATTCAGTAAATTTTCAGAATTTCTCAATTTATTGATTTCCAAGCACTCCAAAAGAGTGGGTCTCAAAGTTTTGTCTTTCAAATGTGACACCTCATTGAACTCATGTCCTTGTGCAGACAGATGTCTCTACGGAACCTTCAAGATACCTGGCGCCCTCTCGACGTAGCATCGCCATGTCACGGTAATGCAGGGCTCTGCCGTGATTGACCTTCTTTCCCTAGCTACTCGTGGGACTTTTATAGACAGAGTAAACTCAAAAATTCTCTCTGATGCTGAGTCTACAGAAGACATGGATGTCGAGCTTACGACTCCAACTGACCTCCCTGTAAATTTAGTTCAGGAGCGAGAGCTTCTCAACTCCCCAACTCCTGATCCAATAACTGAACCTTAAAAAAAGTTTGGTGGTGCAGCCAGGAAACGACTGAGTCGTCTCCTCAAGAGCGGGTTACCTTATAAAACCGCTTTGCATCAAATTCTTGAGGGGCGTACGCAGAATCTGTCTCAGATGGAGGAACAAACCCCCCATGAGCAGGTTAGCGAACGTTTGCGCTCAAGTGATGATTAACAAAAACCAGAGGCGAAAAAACTGCACGGTTGAATCTAAGGCATCGTCAGGTGTAGCTGACGTGCAAAACCCTCATGTGGGAAAGTTGTCGCGGGTATCAAGGTGGGAATCTTGCACCTTGACTATCCGACTACCCCATTAACGATGAAACAGCAGAGCATATACTTTGTGCCTGCCCCGCTGGGGACCAAATAAGGTTTTTAGGATTCGGCAGAGCCGCACTCTTACCATCTGACCTGAAAGACTATTCACCATACAAACTAATCGGCTTCGTTAAGAAGCTGGGTTTATTTGGTCGAGTGTGAATAGGTGTGAACCACAATAAACCCGTGCGTGTTGCAATGGGGAGGCGAATAGACCGACTCACTTTGGACCTAACCTAACCTAACCCCATGCACAAAAATGGTTGGCAAACGTGGAATTGATCCTCACAATCAACAATATATTCCTATGTTTTTTTATTCTTTTGGAAAAGGGGCTTTCCGTTTGGCCAATATATGAATCTGGCCAATATTTGAATTTGGCTACTATAGGTATCACTTTAGCAAATTTAACGAATTTGTTCAAATCATCATTTTTTCTGTTAGCACCGTTAGAATATTCATTTTTCAACAAACGAGCAATTTTATTGGTGGGTTTACCAACGTATAACCAAGATATCCTATGACGCTTTTTTCGAGTGGGATAGTCCTCGTAAATGACTTGTTTTCGCAGTCTTTCGAAAAGAATGGAGCCAATAATATCTACGTTGTATCCGTTGCTGACAGCAATTTGTTTGATCAAACTCGGTTCTCCCTCAAATTACTTTCTGGCAGTGGAATAGTCTGTGAAGCAGCTACTTCATGATGAGCGGCATGTGTCCAGGAATTATGTATGAAATGTCCGAATTAAATGGATTATGGAAAATTGCAACATGTTTGTTATTGATTTCAGTGGTGAATTTAATTAACGGATAAATGGAATTGACAAATTCGACAAACTTGCCCTAGCTTTCATCTACGTGTCTGTACCAGTTTAGGAAACTATTAATAATGAATTCAATGGTCTTGTTTCAGTTTACAGTTCATTTGGTAGTAATTTCAAATTGAAAATACTGTACTTTGTTTCAGCTCTCTAAATAGCGTTGTTTTCCCGTAATTAATTATTAAAAATCGGATTTTCTAGGCCCGTGACGTCCCGCTTCTTGTTCGATTGACCAATAGGAACAATACAAATAATGAACATTGCCAAATTGTAAAATTCACCGAGCCTAAAAACAGTTTCTGATTCATTCAAGTAATAAAAACGTTATTTTTCAAATATCTTCGGCAGTAGACATTTTCATGTTGATATCACAGACATTTCAATAATGGAAGTGTATATGAACCCGTTAACGTTAAAATTCACGAAAAAATTCTCCATATGAAATAAAATGTACTCGAAAATCATGGTTCTAAATAGAATTCAACGAGTTATATTTTTAAATGGTTCTCGAAGGCTCATGAAACCTAATAAAATAAATCAATTATGCATTCATGCCACTGACCAAAAATGAGAAATTCAACGTTATGTATTAGCAATATTGCCACCCAGTCAGATATCTCTCTTGAATGTATGAGAAAATGTATTTTTCCAATGTTTCATAACTTCGTATTTTTGTTGAAATAATTAATACTTGGCAACACAGCTGTCGACACGATTAATTTTATTGGTCAACAGACACGCGGCCAATTTCAACTCTTGCTCCTTGATTTTTTCTTTTTCCTGCAAATATAAAGAGATATTGGGACCGATTAGGCTCGATAAATCTATCGATCAGTCTATAAGCAAATCAGTATAATTTTCAATAGCACGAAAAAAGCCCATTTTCAAGGTTATCCTGAAAATTTCAGCTGTCAAAGGATTCAACGTATCTTTCATTATGAACCTTTCGCTGCATGAGTGAAACTATTCATCAAATTGTATGTATCGATTTTTTTGAATCTAATGCGTTATTTTTTAAGATGACAAAAATTGTTTTCCCAGTCGATGCAATTTGGTGTATGGTCATAATATTGTAAAACAAACTAAGTCTCAAATGACTTTTGTAGAAATTATGTAAAAAAATATTATTTTTATTTTTTGTTTTTGTTTTGAAAATGTCAATTTTTATAGGTACTGACTAACAATTAGTGACAAGTGTTAATGTTGTTTTCGGTGTCATCCGAAGCACAACCAATGCCACTATATTTTCAGGAATTCCATTTGGTTATTACATTCATTTTTGTTCAGTATTTCAATAATCTGGAAATATTTCAAGCAGTACTGATAGAACAAATCACTAATTTTGAACTACTCATTCGAACTTTGTTTGTCAACCATAAGATTAGAATTAATGTTTCAAATGTTAAAAAAATCTTTATGTATGCTTGATTGACCAGAATAAAGACACTTTATTGTTATTATATGCAGATATGTGACAGATTTTTTAATATCATCATTTATTTCAGATTCTAGAGGATGCAACGGAAACAACTATTAGTCTCTATGAAAATCTCAAGAATTTGAACGAATCAAAAATAAAACCACTTATTCAGTTGTGCTTCCCGCACCCCAGATAACAGAATCGAGTATAGAAATACCCAAATTGAACTGTGAATGCAAACAATGCAGTCGGTAAACCGCACGAAAACCAGACAGACATTCGCTAAAGGAAATTCGATAAAGCTAAGGTAGTTTGACGCAAATGGAACAGGAAACCGCTGCCGGTATTCAAGATTGCTCGATAACTGGATGAATAGAATGAATATCAACAGGAGTTATGATTTGATTATTCATCTTGTTCATTATTGAAACTCCCTTATGTTTTTGTTCGCAGAGTTGATAATGTATTCCAATTATTTCAGGATTTGTATTGAGCTTGCTAACCCCAGTAAACACAGGATATCCATTGGACACCCATTAGAGGTCCCATATTGGTCCTCTGACAGACAGACATCGAATAGGTCATTTCCAACAATCCAACTCTTCGCAGGTTTGATACATGTTCACCACTGATTTCTTTCTGGACAATCTCATCATACATCAAGTAGGCCAACAATCCGAGTATTCGCAGATCTGATACATGTTCACCACTGATTTCTTTCTGGACAATCTCATCATACATCAAGTAGGCCAACAATCCGAGTATTCGCAGATCTGATACATGTTCACCACTGATTTCTTTCTGGACAGACAGACATCAAGTAGGCCGTTGTCCAAGAATACAACTCTTCGCAGATCTGATACATGCTCACCATTGATTTCTTTTTGGAAAATCTCATCTGGACAGATAGACATCAAGTAGGCTATTGTCCAAGAATCCAAATCTTCGCAAATCTGATACATGTTCACCATTGATTTCTTTTTGGAAAATCTCATCTAGACAGACATCAAGTAGGCCATTGTCTAAGAATCCAACTCTTCGCAGATCTGATACATGTTCACCATTGATTTCTTTTTGGAAAATCTCATCTGGACTGATAGACATCAAGTAGGCCATTTGCTACAAATTCTACGAGTCAAATGTCCTACACCAGTGTATAAGCATATTAGACACATCGTGAACAACAATCCACCTCTTGGCAGATATGATACATGTTCACTACTGATTTCTTTCTGGACAATCTCATCTGAACAGACATACATCGAGTAGGACATTGTCCAACAATCCAACTCTTCACAGATCTGATACATGTTCACCACTGATTTATTTCTGGACAATCTCATCTGGACAGACATACATCAAGTAGGACATTGTCCAACAATCCAACTCTTCGCAGATCTGATACATGTTCACCACTGTTTTCTTTCTGGACAATCTCATCTGGACGGACATACATCAAGTAGGATAATGTCCAACAATGCAACTCTTCGCAGACCTGATACATGTTCACCACTGATTTTTTTCTGGATACTCTCATCTAGACAGACATACATCAAGTAGGACATTGTCCAACAATCCAACTCTTCGCAGATCTGATACATGTTCACCACTGATTTATTTCTGGACAATCTCATCTGGACAGACATACATCAAGTAGGACAATGTCCAACAATCCAACTCTTCGCATATCTGATACATGTTCACCACTGATTTTTTTCTGGACAATCTCATCTGGACAGACATACATCAAGTAGGGCATTGTCCAGCAATTCAACTCTTCGCAGATCTGATACATCTCATCTCGACTGATAGACATCAAGTAGGCCATTTGCTACAAATTCTACGAGTCAAATGTCCTACACCAGTGTATAAGCATATTAGACACATCGTGAACAACAATCCAACTCTTCGCAGATCTGATACATGTTCGCCACTGATTTCTTTCTGGGCAATCTCATCTGGACAGACATAAATCAAGTAGGACATTGTCCAACAGTCCAACTCTTCGCAGATCTGATATATGTTCACCACTGTTTATTTTTCTGGAAACTCTCATCTGGGCTGACAGACATCAAGTAGGCCATTTGCTACAAATTCTACGAGTAAACCCTACACCAATATATAAGCATATTAGACACATCATGAACAACAATCCAACTCTTCGCAGATCTGACACATGTTCACCATTGATTTTTTTTCTGGTCATTCTCACACCAAACCAACATTTGTATTCGTTCTGTTAATCCCTGTCAACGAGATAAGATAACGATTGACCCCATTCGATAGACCATTTATCCAGACTTGATTTATTTCTGTAATATGAGCTCATAATATGTTTGTGCCCAGTGTGTCTGATCCCCATATTTACACAAACGTTAATGAAACCTACAAGAACAATCGAACAAGAGCAATCGATTGAAATGAAAGACTCGGTTTCTCTAGAAATATTTTATTACTTATACATAATTATACAGCGGAGTTCGATAGTTTATATAAATAAAGGAAATACTGAATATTCAGAGGGGCATTATCACTTTTGTTGGTACTAAAACTGATTCACTTGCGTGTTGGTGCTTTAATATTCTCTGTATGACAGTGTTCATAACCGTTTTCAGAAAGCTCCTGTTTTATGAATTGTTTGTCATTATAATTACAATCTATGTATATCGAGTTTTGTGTCATTATGTATGTTTTTTCAGGAGTCGTCTGTGAATATTCTGAAATACTGTATTATAGTTATTACTCCATATAAATGAAATGTTTATGAATATGTTTTTAAACTAAAAATATGAATGCATGCGTCAGAAATTCCGGGACTACGTGACATAATATGGAATGAATGCAAACGCACAACATTTGAGTTGATAAAAAGCCACTTGCTCATTTTTCTAACAAACTGCTTCAACGATCTCAATTTCATCGAAAAAGTCCCCCAAATCACAATAGTTCAATTTTCAAAATATCCTTCATCTGTCTGTCATGGTTTTACCGTGTTAGCATGACAGATAAACTATTGTCATGAAGAAAAGAGAACTGAAACTTTTTACGTTTTTTACCACTTTTATTTGTAACTGACGTTACTGCAGTTTCAATATTTTCAAACTTATGGATTGAACTAAAAATGATTGTTTACATTAGCTCTTATATAACACCACTGTAGGTGATAATAGCGGTACTTAGCTTAATTGAGTACCTGAATTTTGTTTACTTGCAACAATGCGGATGTGCCAGTTAAAAAATGGCGAGTAAACTAAATCGATTTGATCATGTAACAGGTTGCACCCGCTATGTTTATGCTTGTGATTTTCCAAGGATTGTTTGATCTTGGGGTATATTAATCTGAAAATTAATTTACGGCTCTGTTTTCTGACTAACTTCTAGATTGAATCTACGTCGAAACCATTATTATGCCCTATCTGTGTAATTATATCAATATCCGTAGCTAGATTGTTAGCAGACAAAGGCAGTGAGAATGCTCTGTGCAACATCAAATAGTAGGCTGCTAATTTATGACTGTTCGGATGGAAAGAATCACATAGAAAGTTTCAATTCTCTTTTCTTCATAATGATTTCCTATCAGGTAGTAACGGCTACATCCATCAATCTATTAAACTATCGGCGCCACCGTCGCTCAAAAATAGAATTAAAAACCATCTACTCGTATACAGTGACCACAACATATTTGAACATTATAATTTCATTTCGTGATCAATAATTTATGTTTTGGAAAGCTATTTCAGCTTCAATATTTTTGTTGAAGTTAATCCACAAATTCTAGTACATTATTGTTGAGTGGAATAGTAGCTGACGCTCAAATCTCCCACATTGAATAAGAGAAATTTATTATTATTATCATTCGAATAATTTCTATAGAGTACCTAAAACACTCAGTGTTCTACAAAAACACAACGTAGGTTGCTCTTGGCTATGCGAAACGCCCTGTGCCAGTGAAAATTTCTTATGAAACAAGTTTCATTTCGTGACATGAAAACAACACTCAATGTGGGCAACACGGTACTAAAAATTGTCATATACAATGTTGCATTAGAGCACCAATAAATTTTCTTTGAGACATAATAGTTCTAAATGCAGAAGCATTCACAGTTATTTCACCAAAAGCACCAGTTGACATATTTTGATCAACCCTGTACAACCGCTATGAGTAAACACACATATACAAAAATGGTCTCGGAAAAGTTTGGAACGCAGGAAACAACATCAAGTGCCATCCGTAACAACGATGGCTTTATGGACATAATTCGTTTGTAGCATCAGGGCAGGCCACAAATAGGCTCTTACGATGTCACTGCTTCTTGGCGATGATTGGTGGGGCTGGTGTTTTTCCGGATGCAGTCGGACTGGCGTTTGAAAATCTGAAACAATTGCTTTAATTAGGACAACGAGATGATTGTTTTGTTGGGGAAACTGACCAGTTATCGGGACGGTGTAATTTCCTTGGCAGCGGTAAATGGAGCGGATAAATTTGTTGAAATGCAGTAGTGGAGAGTTCCGCATTTGGTTAAAGAGATATAGATTAAAGAGAGAAAGCTGGTTTTGTTCCTCCACTCTGATAATGCTTCAAGAATGTTCCTACATTAAGTGTCCTGAATATAATTAGAAAACATCGTTAAAATTAAACCCCCTCAAGCAAGTAGGACCACTTGGATTTTGAAATTTGTGAGCTCAATTTTAGGCTAATTCGCTGTTACCAAATTCTTTGATTCCATTAAATAAAGGTATCGTCACCGATCTTCGAAATACACCACAAACACCACAGGAAAATCTTAAAGCCGCTCTAAGAGCGGTGCCTATGCGAAACTAGCGATTCACGTTGGATTTGAATCGCTGGAGACTGAATTCATTTGGAAAAATGTTGTCAGAAAGATTGTTATTTCACATAAATGCAGTTCTTCAAATTGAAGAGTTCTTAAACCGTGAATTTCGCTCTTGGTAGAAGCTTAGGGAAGTTAGGGTATTTTGATTAATTACAAACTCATATAACACCCAGGTACTGTAAATGTAGGTACTTCAAATTGTGAAATTAGGTATATTAAGCACTGATTATGTAGAACATAGTTGGTAAAGACAGACCTCCCATTTTCGAGGGCGCTAAATGCCCAAAAACGAAGGTTATCACAGTATCGGCGATTGAATGGGCTATCAAGTCGTTTCAGCCTTTCAAATCTCCTGGAGAGGATGGTATAGTTCCAGCTCTTCTTCAAAACGGACAGGTAATAATTTTACCTATTTTCACAAAATTATATAGAGCTAGTCTGGCGTGGAGCTATATACCACCCAGTTGGTTGGCAGCAAGGGTGGTATACATACCTAAAGTGAGTCGGAACGACCACACTCTAAATCGGTACGACCAATCAGCCTTACATCCTTCCTGTTGAAAGGACTTGAGACGATACTGGACAGACACATCAGGAGGGTAGTATTATATGCATCCCCCCTGAATAACCACCAGTATGATTATCAAACCGGCAAATCGACAGATTCAGCATTGAACAACGTTGTAGAGAAAATCTTCCGCAATCTCCTTGACTACAAGGAGATTGCGGTTGCTGTATTTCTTGATATTGAAAGAGCATTTGACATTGTACTACCTAAATCTATAGTCTCTGGCTAGGAAGGGTATAGAATCGACCATAACTGGCCGAATCTATGACATACTGGTGAACATAACTGCAACTACGACTCTTCAAGGTGAGGCCATTAGGTTCAGGGTCACCAGGGGCTGCCCTCAAAGTGGGGTACTATCCTTCCTTCTGTGGTCGCTCCTAATGGATAGTTTGCTTGATGCCCTCGACAGAAAAAAAGTAGATCTGCAAGCTTATGTAGACGACCTTGTCATCTAGGCAAGGTCCACGCTGGGAAAGGTCTTGTAATACCCTCCAAAGCACGTTGGACGTTGTTCACAGTTGGTGCCTGAGGGAGCAGATTTCTGTCACTCCAGCGAAACTGTGATAATCCCTTTCAACAGGAGGAGAAAATTAGACGATCTTACGCCACTTTCCCTCAATGGTGAAGTCATTCTATTTGGAACGGAGGTGAAATATTTTGGCATTATCCTTGATAACAAAACTCACCTGGAACGCTCACTTGGAAAAATTTTTGCACAAAGCCAGGCTGTCCCTGTGGACATGTCGAAGGATTTGTGGTGAAACTTGGGGTTTAGGTCCCAAGCGAATCCATTGGATTTATGTGATTATTGTCAGACCAACGATCACTTGAGGTGACATTGCCTGGTGGCCGAAGACTTTACAGAAAACGGCGAAGCTCTTTAGCTTACAGAGACAGGCTTTTCTGGCTATCAGTGGTGCTATCAGTACCACACCGTCAGCGGCCATGGAGATCCTTCTAGATCTACCTCTTCCCCACATTTTTCTCAAGAGAAAGGCTAGATGGACATTGCCAAATGCACAAATCAATTTAATGCAGAGTGCAACAGACTATTGGTTGGCACTGGAATTCTCAGCATTATGGAAATGCTGTGGAATGAATCCTACTGGAGAAGGAAATATCAAGAGCAGATAGTTGTTGGTTCATAGATGGATCAAAAGCACCTTCCGGTTCTGGTGCAGGTGTTTTCAATCGCAGACCCAGGAACAGAGATATTCTGTCTAGGAACCCATGCGACTGTATTTCAAGCGAAAATTCACGCTATTGACTTGTGTGCAGAGAGATTGGAAGAATCCAACTTCATACACAAGTCGATAAAAAATTTCTTGGACAGTCATGCGGCGTTGGAAGCTCTTGGCTCCTACCGAGCAACGTCTAAATTGGTAGCAAATTGCAAAAAACGATTCTCCTTGATAGGAGGACTTAACAGATTGTCTCTGGTCTGAATTCATGACTATACTGGCCTGGAAGTCAATGAGGCTGCTGACTCCTTTGCAAAGAAGGGTGCTACAGGCAGCTGGACCAGAACTTGTCATTGGCATCGCTTTAGGCTTCGTCAAACAAACATTGAACACTTGGATGGCAAGAAGATTTATGGACTTCTAGCAGAATCTTTCAGGATTGGCTTATTCCAAGGCGTTTATTCACCCTTCGAAGTTTGATTCCAAACAGTTGTTGGACTACAATAGGGATGAACTACGATGTCTAACAGGCCTTCTGGCAGGTAACTGTCATTTGAATCACCATATTCAGAGACTCGGACTGTCAAAAGCCAGTGTTTGTCGCCTTTGTTTGAAAAATGATGAAACAGCAGAGATTTTTAGAGTTCGACAGAGCAGTACTCTTACCATCTGACATGAAAGACCACTCACCATACAAACTAATCGGCTTCGTTAAGCTGGGTACATTTGGTCGAGTGTGAATAGGTGTGCGCCACAATAAACCCTTGCGGGTTGCAGCGGGGGGCCTGAAGAGGCCATTTTGTGGCGAAACACGTGTTGAGTTTTTGTAAAACTGTTCAGTGAAAATTTCACATTGAAGTGTTTTTTGAATACGTATAGCTGATGAAATTGATCTCACGAACCAATTTCATGAATTTTGACAGACAGACTTTATATTTTTCGTACAGCCACTCATCAACTGGATTGATTGAATTTTTTCAGTATTTGTATGTCTGCAACACTTATCGATTCAATAGAAACATTATTATTATTATACTTTCGTTGACATTCAATTGAAGATTGAGACGAGAACAGTAATTTTTTCAGTGTTTCAGGGACATTTCTATAGCTGGAATTTTTTTTCAAAACTACACTGATTGGATTAGTTTCTAATTACTCTGATTTCATGAAACTAGATTGAATTTTTACGATGAATAGGATTTTTTATGGAGCAAGATGAGTACTTTAATGGAATTTCCCGATAAATTCCGCTGCACCAATTTCAATTTCAATAAAATGCATTTAAAAGTGGCAGCTGCATGAAACAATTGGTAAATAAACTTGCCACCTATTCGGTTTTATTATTCACCAAATAAAATTTTGATGTCGCTGATTTGAGTACATTTTTTATGTGCAATCGTGGAAATGCATTCGAAATTGAATCGTTTCAGTTCATTATAAATATTTGTAATCGAATTAAAATGTCCCATTTTCGTTTCTACAATTTGCATACTGATTTGCGGTCATTCCAAATACAAACTATCATTAATTCGAAATAATTTGAGGCCGCAGTACTCGAAATCAGAAGTCGTAACAATTCGGTGAACCCAAATTAAAATCCAGCCTAGAGTAATAATAATGCGGAAACATGGGTACCTACTTTAATGGGAGTTTCGATGCAAAGTTGTGGTCGCTCGTGAAAACGGAATCGTAAAAGTGTTAGAAAGTATCATTTCTCTCTATTTTGACAGTACCATTTTCAATTTCCCCAAATGAATTGAAGGAAATGTTCTTTTTTTTTAAATATTACAGAACTACCGAATACCACATTAGAAATTTGGGAAAAAAAAATTATGATAATGGTCCAAGCTTTCGCTGCCGATGTATTCAATGTCACTATTTTTTGAGGACGCTCTGAACCTTTTCTTAGACCACTTGAACGTTCCACACCCCAGCATCAAGTTACCATGGAGACTGAACAGGATTAACGATGTACTCAACGAACGATGTCGTGCTAGACTAACCCACAACGTGTGATGAAAGCCCATGCCCACAGATAGATGCCTGCACGCACTATCGAACCACAATCCTAGTCAAAGAAGAGGAGGAATAGGCTTGAAAAATATGTGAATCAGAGCATCTCGAGGATCTCAAGTGACCCCAGTGTTCTCGAGATCAATAAGACCATTAAACTAAGACTTCCCCGGCCCAGAATTGAGAAACTCAACACTAATGCGGTTTCAAAACTGACCAAGAGAATGGAACACAGTCTCAGGTCGAATGAAGACAAGAGAGATCCACTATCAGCAGCAGGGGTGTATGGCATACCGTGCACTTGCGGAAAGGTATACATCGGACCCAACAAAAGATCCATGGGAACTAGGCTGAAGGAACATGAAAGAAATTAGGGCAAACGGACAAGTCGGCTGTGGTAGAACACGCACTCAGTGAATGAAACCACATAATTCTGTGGCAAGAAACTCGTTAACCCCCAACCAGGGATATCATAGCTGACTAGTACAGGAGGCAATAGAGATTCATAAACACACGGATAACGCAGAAATCTCAGCTGGACAAATGCAGAAGGCTGCCATTCTTGGCTCACTGCAGTTGCTGAGGGCAGCCGAGAACACATGATTCTCAGATCAAATGATCACTTAATACCCCACGGTGTGTGAATGGTCATTGGTTGATAATGTCGGCGCGGATCTTCGGAGGATAGGGCCCGACCAGCGCAACTCCTGGGGGAAAATACTCAATATTTGTTATTCGGATCATCCATTACACTTCATAACACTATGCTACATATCACATATCACTACATATCACGAAATAGTGAAACAATAAAACTCTCTAATGCTGCAGCATTGAATAAACTCTCGAATTCATAATAACCGTGGAGGCAGGTGTGATTCTATTCAGACCCACTGTTGTGGGGAATGAAGTGAAGCTTTGATTGAATATTTCAACAATAAGTCTGCAGAAAAAGAAAAGTTCATTCTACTTATTTAATCAACCGCTATATGGAACGGTGGTTCGAGCCAGATGGCCTCACAATCACATTTTCACTGCATATCGTCCAATCTATACTCGAATTGCACGTTGAAAGGTGAGAGTTAGTTAATCCCCAGTCTGCACAAGTTTCGACTCCTGAGAGATACCGTTTTTAAGGAGGTAACAGCAGGTTGAATGAAAAACAGATTACAAACAAAATTTTCCCATATCTCACCTGTATCCAATTCGTATGGAGGCACTTGGCACACCAAAGCCCAGGCAACTTTGGCAGCTTCTCCTGCGTAACTTCTCAAGGCTTGGCAGGACTCCAAGCACTTGTACTCCTTCAGCGTTTCACAAACGAGTCCGATCACCTGGTTTTCGGCATCTTCCAGTGGAAATGATTCTGAGGATGAGGCCAGACACCGTAGAACTTCCTGTCGCAAAGACTGGGATGCTGAGGAACGGTGATCGATGTGCAGAGTGCGGAACGTCTGGAGAAGCTTGTGGTCGCGAATGGTCCTACACGTCCTGAAGGCCAGCTGTAAGAATGAAATTGAGCAACTATCAGAAACAGTTGATGTACCAGGAAGATTAATAGTGAAGAAATGGAGACACAAGTTGCGCGAAGAGAAAGCTCAGTTGTTTAATAAGGGAAAAGCACTGAAATTTGAATCAATGCACTTTGGCAACGTAACACAAGTCGTTCAAATCCGAGAGTATAAACATTGTGTGCTCGAGATTCGAAGAAGTTGACGAAGATTTCTGTTTGGTCCTGATTGACGAAGGTTCTACCTTGAAAAGACGGTAGTTGGTTGGCGAGAGGTTTGTGGAGTATGATGGATGAAGCAAAACTTCGACGCTCAATTTGATTTTTGAAGTTCTTGGTCAAAGCTCCTTCCAGCAGAACAGCTCCTTGGACCTCTTTTGTTTTCCAGTGTTGGTTGGAGCTGTGGTGGTTAGGCCTGGCTTCAGAAAGTTATGATGATCGTTTGGGTTGCACTAACGAGAAGACCTTGACATGTCACAGTTTGAGTCGACCGTTCAAATCGTGGGACACCCACTTTTTGAGCTCCTTGGCCTTTCCAATACGTTTTAAACCATCAAAAACTGCATGTGAGCCGACTTTCAGTGCTTTCTCCATCTCACCCACCATTTGTGATGGATCAACTTCACCGGTATCCTCAAAACCTAAACCTGGTTTAATGTAGGTCCACCACTTCGGAGCTTTTCTTCGAGGCTAAAATCCCCGGAATGAAATGTCACATACAAACGTCGAATACTAACATCAACAAATGCCTGATTGATTATTCGGGTTGTTTCGACAGCGCTTTGGTTCAATTTGAATTCGTAGAGAAACATTTGCGGAAAATTGCTCAACAACATCATAGCAATGGGCTGAAAAGAGGCAAAACATTCAAATTTGGAAAAAATTAACAACGTCGATGTATACAGTACAAAATTCTCTATCACTTGGTATATACCACGAAATTATAAAATGGAATATTAATGAAATATGGAGGTACAAAAACACATGCTATCAAAATGGACAAAACTTTTGAAATAACCATAGCAATGGAAAAACTGATATGAGTTTCTAACCCTCTGATGAATATTCTTTTCAATAACAAAAATCAGTCGAAACAATCATGAAAGTTTAACTGTTTGTGTGTGTGTGTGTGTGTGTGTGTGTGTGTGTGTGTGTGTGTGTGTGTGTACCTGTCGCGCAATAGTTGTGTGGCCACATGCCGTCTAGCAACACGCATGGTGTGGCCTACCTACTTTGAGCGGCCATTTTTTGAGGCCACTAAATGCGGACCTATTTTAAACGAATCTACGTGGTCTGCTGATCACAATGGTACCTACTTCTCTGTTTGACCCCAGAGTGATGGTTCAGGGATGTGTCAAAAGTTGTGTTAACTCATAAAAATTGCATCTACCTCATGTGGCCATCACTTTCGTCTGCCCAGTGCTGCCTCTACAATAACATGCATCTTGGAAACTACTTTCAAGGACTCTCGATTTATTTATCGAGCGGACTGAAGCAAAATTGGATTCTCGCAACTTGTGTTTAAAAGTGCCTTGTGTGGACAATCAGGTGTTCGTTATTTAGTAAGGCCAAGAGGTTTTTTTTACGATCTTCAGAAATGAAACTTTCTTGTTCACCTAATGCAAATAAAAGATATTCAAATATGATATGATATGATATGTGACACAAGTTACAAATTTCAACTAGGGAGCTATTGAACTAGTTTTTTCAAAATTTGTCGAACAAATTCTCCAAAGAAGACTAACTACCTACAATCAATTCTTGCCGCTAAAAAGCTGGGGGTTAAATAAATCCCAACGTCCGTCCATAATAGGTATACCCATATCCCAAATATTGGGATGGCTTCCAACAAAAAATCATACAGATCGTAGAAATTATTATTCATTAGCTTTTTGAGACATGATTCAATTGATAGAACATAGGCAGTATATCTAATTGTATCATTCCAGGATAATGCAAAACTGTACAGAAATATGTACAGATCTTCATAATCAGAATAAAAATAAAAGATTGTCCTTTCCACGTAAGACAATCGTTGAAGAGTATTACTGGTAATGTGGTAATTGGTGATCTTCACAATATTGACTATATATCTTTCAAAAATGAACTACTCCAAAAACCAATAACGAAGCCTGTCGACGCTATTGTGTAAGAGAACAAATATTACGGGTTTATTGAACTGGTTGTGAAAAATTTCACGAAGTTTTGTCAATAAAGGTTTTTAAAATATATGAATCATTAGGAATTAATTGTACAAAACCGCGTTTGAATTATTTGCGACAAAAAGACTCCTTGAACTCGTCAGTTTCTCATTCCATCGTATCTTGTAAAAAAATTTGAATAAACATAGTGCTTTATCACTTTTCCCGAATAGTAGGGATGCTGAAGTTGTAATAGGTTTTGTATTACTTGCAAAAGGAGTTTTGGCAATTGTGATAAAACTTGGTAAAGTTGTCTGATTGATATACGTGGTGAAAATCAATATTCATCACCAGTTTTATACAACTCGGTTATCAATATCAAAATGAAGAATTGAAAATACAATGTCATGCTCTCATGTATTTTTGTCGTGTCGTGATCACTTTTCGAAAAAAAATTAAAAATAAAAAAAAATCTGTGCACGCCCTTGAGCCAGGAAACAATATTATAAAAATGCCTTATAAGTACTTACTAATGCTCAAACGGTACTATGAGAACTCTAAATTTTTTAAAATTTATGCCGAAAGGTACGCTTTACTTTGTTACAAGGTGGTTTATTAGTTACATTAATGGATATACAAGTTGAATTAAATTGAGTAAGCACCGTTATTGACTTTGTTAATGAAGAAATGGCATTAGCAAATGAGTGTTGTTTACACCCATCAACATGCAAGGAATAACAAAAACTAGTTGAGCTTTGCCTTTTTAATTTTTAGGTAACATTTCTTGTTCTAATGGAAGGCCCTGCATGTATTTTATTCTGGTAGAAAATTAAATTTCAATAATTGGAAATATTGAAAAATGTTTTTCCTAAAGTGAAAAATAAGGGATTATTGGGACCTTAACGGTAAAAGTTACCTCATTTCAGGCAGACTGTGAAGTCATCACAGCAGCCAGGTTGCCTCTCAGCTCGCCATACAAGGCGACAGACCACCCAGTCAACCAGAGTACACCAAATTGTTACGTGGTGTCCTGTCACCCAGCGGTGAACCAATCAGAGTGTACCAAGTAGGAGTTACCTCATTTCAGGCAGACTGTGACGTCATCACAGCAGCCAGGTTGCCTCTCAGCTCGCCAGTCAAGGCAGGCAGACCACCCAGTTAACTAGAGTATACCAAATTGTCACGTGGTGTTCTGTCACCCAGCCGTGAACCAATCAGAGAGTACCAAACTGTCACGTTGCTCGCCAGCTAATCAGAGCGCGCACTTCTACATCTCAGAACATCGTGGCGGAAGATTTAAATTTTCTGTGGACATGACTAATTCAGGCAGGCAGACGACCAGACGTATCCCTCAACAAGACAGACCGCCCAGTCACGCGGCGCACTTACGTCAGCTTATCTTGCTCAGCACAGCTTGCATAGGTTCCTAGGCAGATTGATATTTCTGTACTGGGTCTACGACTGAAAATACCTGAAATTCCGCCCCACTAACTCATACTCATAAAGAAACTAAATATGTTTTACTGAACAGTGATCATAATTCAATTGTAAAAACAATTCGAAAAGCAATAACCGAGGCCATCACTACCAACAGTTCGAAATTACTTTCAATATCTAACGGTGGTGTTGATGCTAACGATCGAGTCTATCGCACCAAAGACCTGCGTTCAATTCTCCAACGAAAACTTTTTTTAAGACGTCGTGAAACAAAAATGTGTTGAGAAAAAAGATGGGCAAACGTAAGCGCGCCACGTGACAGGGCGGTCTGTCTCGTTGAAGGGTACGTCTGGTCGTCTGTCTGCTTGAACTATTTATGTCCACAGAAAATTTAAATTTCCCGCCACGATGTTCTGAGATGCAAAAGTGTGCGCACTGATTAGCTGGCGAGCTGCGTGACAGTTTGCGGACACTACGTGACAATTTGGTACACTCTGATTATTTGTTGACGAACTTATTTTAAAATATGACAGTTGTCAGAAAATTTCTTCAAATGATAATATTTTCCTTATTTCGATGAGAACTGGCCGAACTGCAAATTCTGTGGGTCTCTCTTTTTGTTATGAATTGTGAATTATTTCGGCAGTGAAATATGATGAAATTTCTATAATGGTTTTACTCAATTGTTTGATTTAACGCCAAACAAATCTGTAATGTCACCAGGGTTTCTACACATCTTGGGCGGACGGTAGCACATTCATCAGTCTGGTTCCTAACTAATTGTAATGAATCAAATTTCATAATTTGAAAGATTTTTCCATTACATTTCACATTTTGAATTACGTTTTTCAACTATTTAATGAAATCAAAGTTGGGAATTCCATACATTGGAATATATCAATAAGATTAATTGTGATGACTACATTTTGTGCGCATGCTCAATTCCGATTTCAATTCATGGAATTTCAATCCACTTTCAGTGGCCAGGAGTTCATTATTTTTATTAAGGCATTCGGGCACGACTGTGTATGAATGGCCACATAATTATTTTGGCCACAAAATGATATCAATAGGTTGATATGCATTGTAGTTATTTCCGATGATAAGTCGAAAGCTTTGGTGTGTACGAAAAAACTCAAAGTAAATTAAACCAGTGTGGAAGAAAACGTGTTTAATTGTCAGAATAAGGTTGATAAATCGGCAACAATATACGATCGATTACTTTTCAAAGAACATATCCAACTTCTTGTATTTTCAAAGATTGAGCATGATAGAAAATATGTTCAAAATAGTGAGATCTAATTTGTACAATCCATTTTCTAACTCATGTGAAGAGACTTTTAGCACCTGACTCCATATTACATATTGGGATTTTCAATATTTTAATTTATTATAGATTTTGTTTCGATAGATT